ATAAGCCTGTCCCTCCTCACAGGCAGGCAGAGGGAGCAACATCACCACCTGCCAGTTAACCTCAGGCAATAGCACAATTGCCGGGAGGGGTAGGCTGAAGATGCCAGGGGAGAGGCTGGACAGGGCCACAGACCTTGAAGTTGGCTTCCATCTCAGAAAAGACGCCGAGCTTTCCCCGGAGGGCAGTGCATACCAGGCTACAGGGAGAAAGGGTTATGCCTAGAGCCATCTCAGCCCCCACTTCAGGCCCTGCCCATGGACTCCCAAGGTCACCTCTTGTGCAAGTCCAGAAGGTCCTTGTCAGCCACTAGCACCTTGAGTTCCTTCAAGTCCTGGAGAAACTCCTTATCTAAGTCCACATCCATATCGTCCACCTGGGAGTCTGTGTGAGGCCCATGAAGGGAGTTGGGGTAGGTAATAAACCCATCCCATAAGATGCTGAGCATTCCTCACCCACTACCTCATTGCAACCCATGGAACAAAAGAGAAAATGAGGTCTCAAGGTGGAGTGACAGGTGCCACTTTGTAGAAGCAGTGGGCTCTTGCTCTGCAGATAAGGTGTGTGGGGGAAAGCAGACTATGAGCAGAGGTAGCCTGGGTGGGGACCTGAAGACAAAAGGATGCTGGAAACTGGGCCTACAGGAGGAACTGCAGGTGGGAACCAGGCCCTAGGAGGGTAGGGAGAGTATCCAGGCACCTGGGTCAGTGGGGGCCTCACCAACGGCTCCAAGAGTCCAGTTCTGGATCATGAGCTCAGCACAGAAAGCAAAGTCGCCGAAACTCAGATACTGTAGCTTTTTCTTCCCTGTCTCAAAGCGGTTGTTGGCAAAGAAGACGATGGCTGCATAGTCCCTGCAGGGAGGAGGAGGCAGGTCCTCTCAGTGCTTGAAATTCCTTTTCACAGTGCCTACAATAATGTCCTGAATATTAAGCTTACTAGATAAATGTTTAGTGTGGAATAAAAAAAAATTCCTTCTTAGCAACAAGCTCCCACAGGCAACCTCAGCTGGGCATCCAAATTCTGGCCTCTTTCTGTCCTAACTCATTGTGTGAAATGTCTCATGTCACTTCTCTATGGGACTCTTCATCTGTGCACAGAGAAGCATTCAGCCCAGGTTTATTAAGGAATAATGTGGAAGAATACAAGGGTACCAGCTACCATTACTGAGCACTTCCTAAGTACCTTCATGTGTCACCTCATATCAGACCAGATGCAAAATGGCAGGACAGAATTTGAATCCAGGTCAGTCTGATCCAAAGTACAGACCAGAAGTGGGATAGCCATCCCCCTAGTAAAGCTAGGAGGTGGAAGAAGTTGAGATGAGCAACAAGGGTCAGACTTAGGGCCCAGGGAAGGTGTGTGCAGAAGGACAGATGGCCGGCCCCTCACCTGGCCAATCGGTCAGAGAGGAGGAAGTGTTGCTGGATGTTATCCACCAGGGAGCCCCGCATTTCCTCCACCACCTTGAAGACTCGCTTAAAGTTGTCAAACTAGAGGGCATTTAGGGGAGGAAAGAAACTGGTTAGAATGTGCTCACCCAATGAACTGCTTAGTGAACATCCCTCTCTCTCCTAACCGCCTATTCAGTTGGCAGATGCTGATTTAGCACTTGCCAGTTCTTCCACAAACTACTAGTTATTAGTAGCTATTATCAATTCAACAAATGTTTGCCAGCTTTTGTCATCTTGCCTTGAATAATTAATATTTACTCACTTTTGTTTTCTTTTTCGTGGTGCTGGGGATGGAACCCAGGGCCTTCTGCATGCTAGGCCAGTGCTCTACCAATGAGTGATGCCCCCCGCCACCCTTACTCCTCTCTCTAAATGTAACCCCAATTTGCACCATCATGTTCTCTTGAGTCTTCAGGAACTTAAACAGGAACAGACTTTCCTAAGTCCTAGGAATTCAAAGCCATACTTGGGGAGCTCATGGAAGCCACAGAAGAAGGGCATCAAAGGCTCAAAAAGCTTACTTCTCCCTGGCACTGACAAAAAGTCTTGTGCGGAAGACTTTAATTTCAGGAAGACAGATAAGGTCAAAAATAGTACCTTCCAGGTAAAAGCAACATGAACAAAAGAAATCCTGGGAATTGAGAAATGAAAGCCTCGAGAGGTCTGCAGGGAGCAGGAGAGGCTGAAGATTAAAGGCAAAAAGTGCAGTTTCTACCCAAGAGGTAATGAAAATTTATGAGCAGGGGAGAGCCAAGGTCAGATGTGTACCTATGAAAGGTCATCCTGGCCATAGGGAGGGGATGACTTAGAAAGAACAAAAAGATTGGGGGAAGAGACTAGGCATGAAGCTGCTGCCACAATCAGAGGCTGGAGGTGGGACAGTAGCCTAGGGATGGAATAAAGGAGAGGACTGAAAATGGACTTTGGGTGCAGTGCCTACCTGTCTCCGACAGCTCTTGAGAGTGATGCCTGTTTTGGTACTGATGTCGTCCAGGTCTTTCTTGGTGCCCTTGGAGAGCTTCTTGCCCAAGACCTCTCGAACAAAGGCCTCATCAAAGGCATAGTATCTTGTGGAAGCAAGAAGACACCACTAACTCTTCATAAAGGAGGGGAAAAGGGGTCCTGGCAGGGCCTGGGGCTGGCCTCATCTTTCAACTTTCTTAGTTCTTAAGTAAGTCCCGTCCCTCCCAGACCTCGGTTTCAGCCTGCAAAACAGGTATAGGGTCAGACTGGTTGACGTCCCCACCATCCACCAGGTGAGCACCTCTCAATGAGCAACGCCTGCCGGGAGGGCGGAATCTGGAAGATGAGTTGGTGCAGTAGCTTGGGTGGCGCGTGCAGCAGGCGCTCAAGCATGTGGAAGGTGCGGTAATGGTCCATAGTGTCGCTCTGCAGCACCGCCGCCGTGGCCCCTGTCTGCTCCAAGATTCCCGAACGCACTCTCAGAGCCACAGCGTCGCTCACTGGGGAGTGGGTGCCATCATCAAGACCCAGCCCCCCTGACCCCTGAGTCCCTTCAGGAACGCCAGCACTAACCCTTCTACAAGCCTCATTCCAAGCCAGGTGACCACTTCCCTAAAGGATGTCTGAGTCCTGGCCCCGCCCCCTGTTCCATTCAAAACAACTGCTCAGCCCCACTGGTTCCCACAGAAGGACCCCCACAACCTGAGTAACCATCCAACCAGAGGCGATACACGTCCTCGTCGATAAGGGTCGTGTTCCCCACGAAGATGTCCAGTTCGCTGGTCATGGCGACGCCCGGGCCCGGGGCGCCCCGAGCAGGAGCTGGCACTGCCCGGGCCCGGCGCGCGGTTGCCGGGCCACTTCCGGGAGCGCAGAGATTACGCTCCGAGCACCCGGAGCCAGTGAAGGACCACTTCCGGAACGGAGGGGGTGGGGCGGGGACAGCTAGGAAAGAGGTGGAAGCCTGTCTGTAGAGTAGCTGCTCCCTACACTGAGATGGATATATTCCAGATCTCTCGCTCTCCCTACTCTGTTGACCCGAACTGTTTTCAGCAGGGCATCCTAAGTGCCTCCCGCTCATCTCTCCTGCCCCACAAATTCTCCCCTCACTTCCTTTCACCATCTCTGCCCTCCTGGGGCCTCTCAACTTTGATCTGCATCCTAAACATCACAGGGCTCTCTCTACCCTAAGTCTCTCCTCTGCAAAATGGGTGTGGGGTCCTACTTCCAAGAGCTCTTTCTGGGGATCCCTCTCATCATCCTGCAATTGAGCACCTTCCCTGGACACAGGGCATCTGCTCCCACCATGGTTTTAACCACAATCCTCATTCTCACACCATCTTATTGGACTAATCAGAATGCCTTGAGCCAGCATCCACAGGGTTGCCTGTCTACTAAGTCTCTCCGTATTGTCTTCCCATACGCCCCTCAAAAGCTCAACACATTCTAGACAGACGTTTTGCTCTTCCCAGATCTCTTCCCTATCTCAGTGACAGCCCCAATATCCACCCAATTCTCACACTAGAAACCTGGACTTTCGCCCAGATTCCTCTCTTTGCATTTGCCTCCTGAGTATCTTTAGTATCTGTTTCACCCCCTCCACTCCCACCGACACAGTCCCAGCCCAGTCTGCCTAGCTCTCCTTGTTCACTGACACAATGTTACTAATCTCCCTGCCTATCCCTGCCTCCCTTCTCTCCTCACAGGGTCCATCCCACACAAAGTCGCTGAACAATCTTTTTTAAGTGCATAATTTAAAATTTACTCCCCTGTTTTAAATCCTTGTGGGCCTTTGGAAACTCTCCAGTCTAGTATTGGAATTTCTTAAGGATTTTAACTGAATGTGGTAGTGAATGCCTTAATCCCAGGGATTCAGGATGAGGCAGGGGAATGCAAGTTGGAGGCCTGCCTGGGAAAGTTTAGACCTCGTCTCAAAAAGAAAAGAAAAAAAATTAAAAGAGGTTGGGGATGTAGTTCATAGATAAAGTGCCCCTGGGTTCAATCCCCAGTATTGCAAAAAGAAAACAAGAAAAAAAAATCTGGCTTCCACCTACTCTTCCACACCACTTTCTATACACCTCTGTCTTTGAAAAAACATCAGGCTACTCTCATTGTTCCCAAAGCAGCTAGGCTTTTTGGAGCATCAGTGTCTTTCACTCTGCTATTCTCTCTCCCTCACATAGTTTTCTCTGTACTTGGCAAAGTCCTATTCACCTTTCAGGGTCAAATTGCATATCACCTTTTTGGAGAAATCTTTTGGGAATCCTCTAGACTATACTTGAGGACTCCTTTTTATGTATTTTTTTTTAAGAGAGAGAGAGAGAGATAGAGAGTTTTTTAATGTTTATTTATTTATTTTTTTAGTTTACGGCGGATACAACATCTTCGTTTGTATGTGGTGCTGAGGCTCGAACTGGGCCACACGCATGCCAGGCGAGCGCGCTACCGCTTGAGCCACATCCCCAGCCCACTCCTTTTTATTTTTATTTTTATTTTTCCTTCTTGGTTCTGGGGATTTAACGCAGGGGTGCTTAACCACTGAGCCACATCCCAGCCCTTTTKTATATTTTTATTTTGAGACAGGGTCTTGCTAAATTGCTTAAGGCCTCAGCAAAGTTGCTGAGGCTGGCTTTGAATTCACAATTCTTCKGCCTCAGCCCCCTAAATGCTAGATTCCAGACGTGTGCCACCACAGCCAGCGTTTCTTCTTCTTTTTGGTATTGGAAATGAACACAGGATCTTARGCATGCTTGGTAAGCGCTCTATCACTGAGCTACACTCCCGGCCCTCCTCCAACATTTTGCTTCTTGTTAATTTCAGCATGTTTTCTTCACCAGATTTTGGACTCTTTGAGGTCAAGATCAGGATCTTGGTCAAATTTACTTCTGCTTGAGCTTCACACACAATAAAGGTTTATTGAATAAACGAATCCCTTGGATGTCCAATTCCCTGGGAGGAAGGGTAGACTGATAATGAAGCCAGGACATTTGAATTCAGGATCCGGAGGAGCTAGGAGTAATGCTTAGAGAGCGAAGACTAGAATTCCACAGAAGATAGGAGAGAATGGAAAGCTATCCGTCTGGTTTCCGTCGCGGATTGGGCAGGAAGGAGTCAGAAGCGGTGGCCCAAATCTTCGTTCTCAGATGAAGCTGAGAGGCTTAGGCTCAGGATTGATGAGATCTGGAACTTGGAAGGACTAAGCCCCTCCAAATTGAGTTAAGACTGGCGCCAGGGGTCGCGATCCCTCSAGTCGGAATGGGCGGGAAGAGGCGCTCAGCGCTCAGTCCCCGCCCGTTTCCGRAGAGGCTTGCCGGATTGGTTGTCCTTTGGTACCGTCACGCAGCCCCGCCTCGGCGCGCGTCCCGCCGCGTGCCCACCCCCGGGTGGTTGCTGCAGCCTACGCTACCTCTAGCACTGCTGGCCGCCCGCGGAGCCGGAGCCGGAGCTAGAGCCCGAGCCCGAGCGGCGCCGGTCCCAACGTCGGGCTCTTGGGCCGCGGCGGCGGGCGGGCGATGCCCCAGCGGCCTGACCAGCCATGGAGGCCGAGGCAGGCGGCCTGGAGGAGCTGACGGACGAGGAGATGGCGGCACTGGGCAAGGAGGAGCTGGTGCGGCGACTGCGGCGAGAGGAGGCGGCGCGCCTGGCGGCACTGGTGCAGCGCGGTCGCCTCATGCAGGAGGTGAATCGGCAGCTGCAGGGTCACCTGGGCGAGATTCGGGAGCTCAAGCAGCTCAACAGGCGCCTGCAGGCCGAGAACAGGGAGCTGCGCGATCTGTGCTGCTTCCTGGACTCGGAGCGCCAGCGCGGGCGCCGCGCCGCACGCCAGTGGCAGCTCTTCGGGACCCAAGCATCCCGGGCGGTACGGGAGGACCTGGGCGGCTGTTGGCAGAAGCTAGCCGAGCTGGAGAGCCGACAGGAGGAGCTGCTGCGGGAGAACCTGGCGCTTAAGGAGCTCTGCCTGGCGCTGGGCGAAGAGTGGGGTCCCCGGGGCGGCCCCGGAGGCGCTGGGGGCTCCGGCGCCGGGCCGACCCCAGAGCTAGCCCTGCCTCCTTGCGGTCCCCGCGACCTAGGCGACGGGAGTTCCAGTACCGGCAGCGTGGGCAGCCCCGATCAGTTGCCCCTCGTCTGCTCCCCGGATGACTGAGGGCGCTGCTTCTACGCCGACGCTCKCCAGAATTGCTTCCTGAGCGCCAGGACTGCTGTGGATCTCCGGACCTCGACGGTCGCTTCGGCAGTGTAATAGGGGCCGCTGCCATGGACTAAGAATCCCTGACATTGAGGAAGGCCCCCCGCTCTCGCTGGCGGGGTAGCAGGGGGACTGGAGGCTGGAGCGGAGGGACTTGCTGGGGGTTGGGTGGGGACTAATAAACTCGGACGGAAGCGGAGCCTGAAGCCTGGGCAGCATCTGTCTAGGACTCGCCGGGGTTGGGGTGAGGGAGGGAACGCTAAGACGGGGTATCATTCCCTTCTAGAGGGACTGCTTCAGAACTAAGGTGGCTTACTTCCCGCATTACTGGGGATCCACTGGGATGGGATGCAGAAAGGTCTTACTCCACTGTCTCCCCCCCCCCCCCTTGGTTGCCCGGATAGGCCGTAATCAGCCCCCTGAAGTGGCTCCAGCTCCCTTCCCGGCTCCTTCCTGTCCAAGACAATGGGGCAGGAAGCAGGTGTTGGGGACCTAGAATCCACTGGCCGGCTCCTCGGAAAGTGGAGGGGGCATAACAGCGCCCCCTGTGGCGCACGCAGGAGCACTGTGGGCCCCCAGGGGGAGAAATTAGGATCTTAGCTTGCACCCCACGTCATTCTCACCTCTTGGTCCTGGAGATGAGGCAGAGCATACATAACCCTATTTATCAGATAAGACAGTTGAGGGCCAAGAATATGACCAAAGTCACTGCAGTGAGTCAGGAGCTGAGATCAGAACCTAGAACTTCTTACCCCAAATTGTCTCTTTAAAAGCATCTGGATCCAACCAGGCATCCAGGCCAAAGCTTCAAGCCTTTTATTCCATTTTGGCAGGTTTGTATAAAAATACTCTCTTTAGGAAAATAAATAGCAGCTGCCCTCTCTGGGAGGCTTGGATTTCCTGGAGCTAAGGGCTTCTCAGAGCTGGGGGCTGCAAGTCAGCTCATCACAGAAGCCTCTGACACCTCCTGAGCTGTGCCATTCAGGAGGGGCTGGCAGAATGCTCTGGTCCAATCACCTGGAGCTGCTGGCAGTGGGCTGGGTGAATTAGTGTTCTAGGCTGGTAAAACAGCACCTTCTGTTAGGGGGTAGGGTTGGCTGGGTTACAGGATAATGGAGTATAGTAGGTGTGGTCTAGAAGGGGTTAGGAGCTGCCAGAATYTCTCTGTCATAAATGGGAAATATTTTGTTTCTGATTTAGTGCAACTTGTGATGGAGAGGCCAGCTCTAGAGAAACAGTGGGCAGCTTTGGTGGCCCCAGGCTGGCTCTACTGCAAAGCAAAATATGCTCAGTCTCATCTGGAAGGATGGAGAAGAACCTGCTGGTATTGGGCATGGGATATGGTCCAGGCCAGCTGGACTAATGGGGGGAAAAGGAGATGTTGACTAGGATAGCACCTGCAGGGGATGGTGCTGGGTGCTTCACAAAGCGAGGAGGGTGGGAGAACCCAGRGGGTCAGAAGATGGGTCTCCACTGCTGCTGCTACTCTTTCGATGAGCTGAGGCACAGGGCTCAGGGGTGCTGGGATAGGTGAAGACCAGACTGGGGGTAAAAGGGGTCAGAGAGGGTGTAGTCATGAGTGTGGGGGTGTGCAAGGCCTCAGGTTCAAGTACAGGCCCTGGGGAAAGGGAGATGCAAGGTACAGGGCGGCAGGGGGCTGGTGAGCTGCTGGTGCCCCCTGTACTGCTGGTACAGCCTGTGTCCCTCTCCTTGTCTCCCTCTGGGATTTTGCAGATGGGGCGGTGAGCTTCCAGCACCAGCTCCAGACGCTCCTTCTGCTTCTGTAGCTCTTCAATCTCTCTCTGCAGTCCAGATTTCTCATCCTCCAGTTTGTCAGTCTCCTATAGAGGGTTAGGAGAAGAGGAGAAGATGAGGACTGAAGACCCTCAAAGCCTTCCCTGGAGGGAGGTTGGGGGGAAGTAGGGGTTTGGAAGTTCCCTGCAAATCTGGACTGCAACTCCCATAAGCCCCTGGGAGAAAATGGGCACGGGCATGACTCCCATCAGGCCCAGGGCTTCTTAGGAAATTGTCAGCTGGCTTCATTTGGTCTCTGTTGAGAAGCGTGCTGCAACTAATTTTTAATTACCTTGTCCTCGTCCTTTTCGCAGGACAAGGAGCTAGGATGGGGCATGGGGGCTAATGTACTGGGGTCCCGCGGACTCCTGGGATCAGGGTCCCTAAATCGACCAGTGCTCACCGCCTGCAGGAAGTCAGTCAGTTCCTTCCTGCGATTCCTGCACTTGGCCGCGGCCAGCTTGTTCCGCTCACGCCTCACTCGCCGCCGCTCTTCCTCCTCGGGGCTGATCTAAAGGGAGGGGATGGGGGCGTCAGTGAGGCGGTGCGCGCCACCSGCCGCCTGGAACTCGCCCTCTGCGGAGGGCACCGCAGCGCGGGGTCACAACCCTCAACCTGTGATTTAGTGACCACCACCCTCGGGCTGGTTCTCCGTACTCAGGCGCAAATCCTCCTCACCCCTAGCTTCAGTGCCTACTTCTCTACCGAAATGCCCTCGCCTCCCACAAMACTTAACCCTTCTCATCTCCCAGGACCAAACTCAGAAGCCCTCGCCTCCATGAAGCCCAGCTAGAAGTGAACTTTTATCTTCTGAGCCCCTAGGTCAGGATTATCCCTGTTCCCAGGACCCTTGTCCTTTTGGATCTCTGGTAGGACAAATCTCTTCCTGCASGAACAGTGACGCCTTAGTGGGGCTCATGAGTGCTGCTGAAGGCTTTTTTTTTTTTTTTTTTAGTATCTCTATTCTATTTATTCATTTGTATGTGGGGCTGAGGATCAAACCCAGGGCCTCACATGTGCTAGGTAAGCACTCTACCACTGAGCTATAGCTCCAGCCCCTGCTGAAGGCTCTTTATTGGGAGCCTTCCTGTATACCATCTAAACACTTTATTTAGGTTTGTAGGCTTTGCTTGTTTTTTTKTTTTGTTTTGTTTTGTTTTGTTTTTTTGCGGTGGGGGGGAGCTAGGGACTGAACCCAGGCCTAGTGCATGGTAGGCAAGTGCTGTACCACTGAGCGACATCCTCCAGCATGCATGCATATGTGTGTGTATATGTAGATATGTATGCATTTTATACTAGAGATTGAACTCAGGGATGTTTTGTTGGTGGTGTTTTTTTTTTTTTTTTTTTTTGGTACCTGGGATTGAACCCAGAGGCACTTAACCACTGAGCCACATCCCCAGCACTTTTTTATATGTTATTTAGAGACAGGGTCTTGTTGAGTTGCCTAGCACCTCCCCAACGAGGGAGGCTTTGAACTCAAGTTCTGCCTGCCTCAGCCTCCCAAGCTGCTGGGATTACAGGCCTGCACCACTGCGCCCAGCCCCCAGGGGCACTTTTTACCACYGAGCTACATTCTCAGCCCTTTTTATTTTTTATTCTGAGACAGGGTCTCACTAAGTCGTTCATGCTGGCCTTGAATATGAGATCCTCCTGTCTCAGCCTCCCTAGTTGCTGAGATTACAGGTGTGGGTCCCTATGCCTGTCCCCTACATATATTCGTATCCAATTTCCCTTGTAAGGAACTGAAGCCCAGAGAAGATGAATAATATGTTTATGTTCTGGAACAGGAATTATTATCTATTTCCTCACTACTTGCAATGAATGAGAAGCCAACTAATGTAGGCCCCCTCCCTCAGGAAGACCCCACTCATAGCTCAGCCCCAACCCAGTAGTACCCAGGATCAAAGGGTCACACTCAGGACAGGGACAAAAGAAGGAAGCACAGGAGTGGTTACCTTTGCCTGTCTCTGTGGCTCATGCTCCAGTTCCCTTCCCTAGTTGGTTACAAAGGTGTGGTCACATGCACCCGTGGCAAATCACATATCTTCCAGGGTTCCACCCTCCCTCCCTATCCTCTACCCAGTGTTCAGAGGAGACTTTTAAATGTGGAAACCTCACCTCACTATTGTTTCATATGCCCAGGAAGAAAAAAAGAGCATTTGCCTCCTTAAAGACCCTTTATGTCTCATTCATTTATTTTGGGGAAGCCAGAACTCTTAGTTCCCTCTTCCTGGAGTCTTTTGTCAGCTCCCAGTGACACAGTGTGGGTCAGTGGTCAGATCTGACTCTAGAGTTGTGTAGACCTGGGGCTAAAGCCAGTCCTGTCTCATCACTCACTACTTGTATGATCTTGGGCAAGTGAATACCTCACTATGCCTTCATTTTCTTGTCTGGAAAATTATAAAACCAAAGTACCCCCMCACACAGGGTTTTTGTGAGGATTAAATGAGATAGGAAACCTCGAGACCTGGAAAGTAGCAAACCTTCTTGTTCCCATTCCCCCTGCCCCACTATATAGACTGCATTAGCCTACCTCTTCATGTATATCATCAGGGAAGAGACCCTCCCATCTTTCCACAGGCAAGCYTTATACTCTTTCTCCTCCATTCTTGCTCCTGCATGGCTTCTGCCTATGCAAATCTTACCCTCCTTTCATGCTAGCATGCTGCCCTCCATGGGGAGCATCCCCTGATCCAGAAGTGATCTCTTTACTATCTGAGCCTCCCCCTGGACTCCTATCACTCTCTGACTTGGGCAGAAGTCACCAGTGACACTGCCTTCCCTCTTCTAAACCTGAGTTCTCCTTTCTAGAAAGAGCTTGTCCCCTGTACCCTATCACTCCTGTGGGCAATCAGAACCAGCACAACACCTTGGCTTCTTACCTGTTCACAGGGCCTGCGACGCACCCCTGCAGGTGGCCCAAGGGTCCGAATGACTCCTGGCCGGGGTTGTGGGGGGCTGTATTGAGGGTAGGTCAGAGGCCTGGGGTAGCTGCTGGGCCCCAGGAAATGAGGCTGTACCATCCACTGCAATTCCTGGCTGCCACTCAGAGCATTGATGCTTGGCACGAGGTGGAACTTCTGAGGGATAAGAAACACAGGTTCAGGGATGAGGTCTATGTGTATCGAGGGCCTGTCCACTGTCAATGCACATACCGGTTCTGGGAAACTAGAACTAGCACAGTTTGGCAATCAGAGAAACTGACTTGGTGGCAAATCTTGTTCATGAGCTGTGTGTCTTTGGGCAGTCACACAGCCTCTCCATGCCTTTGTTTCCCCATCAGAGTTAATTTTCAAGCGTGAACTGCTCAGCATTGTTCTAGTGACTCATAGAATTGGCACAATAGTATCTTCATTTTCAGACAGGAGAACAGTTGTCCACAACTACACAGCCACTAAGTAGGAAACGGGATCTGAGCCCAAGTGGCTGGGCTCTTACCTACTTCTGCACCCACTGGAACAAAGAGGAGAATTACAGTCCTAGCTCCCAGTGTGGCTATAGGAATGTATGTCACAGAGTCTAGTAAGTGGCAGATGGCAGGTGTCCAATGCTGAGAGGCTGTGATGGGCAATAGCCACTGTTCTGGATTCATCTGGTCCCAATTCTACAGCCATTTACTGACTGTGATTCTGGGCAAGTTATTTGATTTCAATGTGTCTCAGTTTCCTCATTTTAAATATTATAGGTAAAGATTAGAGCATTTTATTGATGTGAAGCAGCAGAGCTTTAATAGCTCTGAAATCACAATTGGAAGTTTTAAAAATTTAGTGGCACAAAATAATGTTGTTGTTTAACTATGGGGTTTTAGAATCTATGAAATATGGTAAATGCGGTGGAGAGCACCACCACAGGAGGCGCCCATATTAGCGACCCCGCTGTTGCCTGTGACCATTCCCTTTCAGCCTGAAATCTGAGGAGTGGGTTGGGATGGGGATTCAATGCTCTGTGAAGAAAACTGGGTTCCAGCCCTGTGGCTGGGTCCTGGGTGTGGGCGCCCAGCTGTCTAGGAAGCGCTCCACAAGCCCAGGCAAGTCCCGACCACGGTGGCATTGGCTCAGAGGTGCGGACCCAGCGGGCCAGTGACCCTAGTTCCGGGATCAAGGAACCGCCAGCGGCATCTCCTGCTCCTGAGGTTGTCCAGGCCCGGGCCGCTAGGGGCCAGGAAGGGAGGGGCGCCCGGGGTGACTCAGATGCCGTGACTCGGCCGCCCGCCGTGAGTCGGCGGAACGAACGCAGCTCTTCCCTCCCCTTGGCGACACGTGCTCATAGCCCCTCGACAGGAAATGGGCACCTGCAGCCTCCCGGGTCTCTCCAGTGGGCAGTGGGCGCCGTCGGTGCCAAGAGTCGGGGACGCGGGAGTTGCCAGTTGCATGACCCGGTGTACGTCCCAGCACCTCGCGCTATTTGCCGGGTCCGGCGTAGAGGTGGAAAGCCACTCTCCCAGAACCCATTATATTCCACTGTCAGGCCCACGGGGTCCACTACGCAGAGAAAGGGATAGTGATTTGTCAACGCGGTAGAGAAGGACGGACAAATGGACAGRCACACGGACGGTCCTAGACAGACTGTCAAGGATTCCCACTCTGTCCAGGCTGGTTCTCATGGACCCCGTCTCCCTCCTGGGACGGGACATCCCYACAGCCCAGCCCCGGGATCCCAGGAATTCAGCCTGAGATGGAGAGCTCAGTTGACCCTGTGTTGGGCAGGCTGAGGCAGGTGGGAAAAAAAAAATAGCGGTGAACAGGAGGAAAGAAAGACGGTAACGAAGACTGAGGGATAGGGACAGGCAGCGAGTGGGCAGGGGGCAGGCGAACGAAGGGGGCGTTCGCAGATCTCCTTCGCGCACGTAGCGCGCGTTCCCCTGGGTATTGGGGGAAATTGGCCCCTGGAAGGCAGAGAATGGGCAGGATCCTCGTCTCTGGCCCCCGAACCCCGTCCCTATTCCTGGTCCCGGCCTTAGCCCGGGATGTACCGGAACCGATCCGGCGTCCCAAGCGTTGTCCACCCTGGGACCGCGGGTTCCGGCGCCTCTCACCTGCTGAGCTGCTGCCTGCGCCGCGGCGGGGGGCTGCGCGGGACCGCCGTACGCGCTGCCGGCCCCGGAGCTCGGTCCGGGTTCCCCGAAGTCTCGGTACATGCCCTGGGCTGGCTGCTCTGTGGGGTCCGCGTCGGCGGCAGGGGTTCTGACTCACTCGCGCCTCGCAGAGTCTTTTCTTTTTATGAATGAAAAGTTCTCGGGCGGAACCACTTCGACCGCGGGGGGTGGGGGCGTTTCGAGGCGGCGCAGGTCACCTCGGGGCCCCACCTCTCCAGACGCGCCGCCTTTCGCTGGTCGGCACCGAACTTTTCCACCCATCCTACAGTCAACAGCCGACTTTCCTTCGGAAAAGGGGCTGCCTTTGGCGTCCCCCAGCCACCGCGGCGGGCCCGCCCCCTCTGACGTAGCTGCCCATACATGGTGCAATTTCCTCGCCGCGCCCAGGTGGAGCGGAGGATTCCCCCGCGGATTTACGCACCTGCCCGGAGCTTGGCGCCCCGCCGGGTCCCGCCCAGAGCACCGATCCMGAGCCGGCTGCTGGCGCCGCGGCCCGCGCCCCCAGTCCGCTCCGGCCTGGGCTGGCCTCGGTTTCTGCTTTCATAAAATAGGACGGAGAAGGTGAAACTGCCTGGAAACTGTAAAGTGAATTACTAATGTGATGGATGATAATGATTATTTACTAGATGTTTATTTCTATGCCAGGAACCATCCCTATCGCCACSCAGGGTTTCACCTTGAGGCCCCTCCACTGGCATTGTTTTAAGGCTCCAGCTACTGTAAAATGAATAAATGACAAACCAGGGTTACAAAAGCTATGGGTTACAATAAACAAGGTGATGCTCTGATCTGCTCACAAATACAACGAAATACAATTGTGTTACTCAGGCTCATTTCGGGAGCAACCATCGTTTTTTTAATTCAGCGCTCCTACAGGCAGTGGGAACCTGCAGTAGGACACAGGAGTCCTGAGGTCTKCTGAACGCCAACTTCTTTTTATTTTATTTTTTTAATATATTTGTTTTTTAGTTTAGTTGGACACAATACCTTTAGTTTTTCTATTTATTTTTATGTGGTGCTGAGGATCGAACCCGGGGCTTTGCATGTTCGAGCAAAGTGAGTGCTTTACCACTGAGCCACAACCTCGGCCCTAAATGCCAACTTCTTGACTGCCAATGGTATTCTGGAATTGTGTGTAGCCAGTCTTGGAGCATGTCAAAAGTCTGCACGAATGAGAGGCCCTGGCCAAATATCCTTGGGAGGTAGGTACCATCATTATCCCCATTTTTCAGATGGAAAACTGAGGCTGAGAGTTGTTCACTAAGTGAGGTGGACAACTCAGGGCTGTGGGAGCTCCAGGCCTAGGCTCAGGCAAGTTTTCAAAGCCCTCAAAGCTTCAGGGACAGCTTTCCACGTGTGCAGAATGTCAGTGTTGAAAGGGCCAACCTAACCTCCCTCCCTATTTCCTCCCATTTTATAGATAAAGAATCGAGACCCAGAAAGAGTAAGGAGCTGCCCTGGTCACACAACTACAAAAAGAGAGTTGAACTTTCCTGCTTTCCACTGATACTTCCTGTTGACAGCTCCAGTCTTGCCTGGGACCATAGGGAGCAATGRTGGTGGTGGTCCCAGGCTGCCTTTCTGGGAAGCAGCGGCCAGGGGTCTGTGGGTGCCCTCAAGACTTAAAGACAGGAGGACAGYTTGGCCCTGAGGTTCTAGTCTCAAGGTTACCATTTTCTGTTTGTGTGACCCTGGGCAGGTTACCTTCCCTGAGCCCCAGTCCCATCTGGGCCTCCCTGCTGACCTCATAGGGCTGCTGTAGGATCAAATGAGATCACAAATGTGAAAGTRCTTTGTAAGCTGTAAAGTGCTGTGAACTCAGAAGGTGCTTACCAGCCTAGTACCCCTCCCTTGCCCTGGTTCTACTCAATGCTTGTCTTCCTCTAAAAAGAAAACACAGCAGTTTACCAGAATGAGAAATACAGTGTGTGTGTTTGTGTGTGTGAATGACAGAGAGAGGCACACAGACAGAGATAGTGTTTTTGAGATAGTGGGACCCATGGGAAGAACATGAATGYTGAAGTCAGACAACTCTGGAACTCGGGGTTCTGGGTTTGAAATCTGGGTAGGCTGCTAGGTTGTATGACCTACATGAAGCACTCAATCTTTCTGAGCCTCTGTTTCCCCATCGGTAAAATGAAGACATGAGCCAGGCACGGTGGCGCACACCTGAAATCCCAGCAGCTTGGAGGCCTGAGGCAGGAGGATCTCGAGTTCAAAGCCAGCCTCAGCAAAAGTGAGGCACTAAGCAGCTCAGTGAGACCCTGTCTCTAAATAGAATACAAAATAGGGCTGGGGATGTGGCTCAGTGKTCGAGTGTTCCTGAGTTCAATCCCTGGCACACCCCCTCCAATAAATAAATAAATAAAATGAAGACATGGGATAAAAACAAAATAGTGTCACATGCTTAGGACAGTTTATAGTAAGAGTTTGACAAATAATTATGAAAATAAATTCATATATGAATAAAAAACCCCAGCAGGAGCAGCCTTTGGGACTCTGATCACATGTGTGTTTCCACACATATACACCTACATGCTCATATGGATATCTGGACTCCTTGGCTGAGCCCAAGCTGAACAGGTCAGGGGTGACACAGGCAGCCAGTCACTGACACATGTGAGGCTTGTCATAGAGGGTCAGCCTTGACAGTACCTACCCACCTGCCACAGGAATATCACCCTGGCCCCTCCCCAAGTAGTCTGGGATGGCTGGCTGAGCAGGGCTCTTGTCTCAAATTGTGTGTGTGTGTGTGTGTGTGTGTGTGTGATTACATGACTTTGAAAGTCCCTTCCTGCTCTAACCGTCAGTGGAGCCACAAGGAGGCCCTTTCAGAGGCAGCACATTCCAAGCTCCTCAGTCATTAACTCCTGCTTTGTGGCCACACAGGCGTTCCTGGTGCCTGACCTCACCAACTCTTACCCAGGGAGCCAGAAGAGAAGCCCAGGGGGCCTCGAGGTTGCTGTGAGTCTGGGACACGGGGAGTTGAAAGACCCTGCAGCTGCCCCTTGATCCTGGCTCCATCTCTTCTCCTCTCTGAGCCCAGAGAATCCCCTGCTCCCAGGGCTGCAGTGAGGCCAAAGAAATAATAGAGGTGTGTGCCAGGCATCTTGTAGGTTCTCAGGGTCAAGGGCGCGTTGGAGGTGATGTTTATGTTTTTCAGTTTCCATTCTCTTTTTAAATTGAAGTGTACTTTTTAATTGAGATGAAATTCTTGTAACATACAATTAACCATTTTAAAGGGTACACTTCGTGGCATTTAGTGCGTTCACCATATTGTGCAAGCACCTCTCTGGTTTCAAAACTTTATCACTCCAGAAAAACACCCCATTCCCATTAAGTAATCACTCCCAATTTCTCCCCTCCTCCACCCTCTGGTAACCTTTAATCTATTTTCTGTSTCTATGGCTTTGCCTATTCTGGACATTTCTGTAAATGGAATCATAACAATATATGACCTATCATTTTTGGCTTTTTTTCACTTAGTGTAATGTTTTCAAGGTTCATTCATGTTGTAGCATGGGTCAATACTTTGTTCCTTTTTATAGATGAATAATATTCTTTGCCAGGCGTGGTGGCACACATCTGTAATCCCAGCGGTTTGGGAGGCTGAGGTAGGAGGATCGCTAGTTCAAAGCCGGTCTCAGCAACTTAGTGAGGCCCTAAGCAATTCAGC